ACATAAAAAAGACAATTGAACTAGTCACTCCAAAAGTTGACAAAGCATTTGCTGTAAATCATTCATATTTTTCTTTGTTTGAAAGTTGATTTTCCTCAAGGGCAAAATATGTACACTAGGATTTTTTTGGAAACTTTGGGACGGAGGGTCTCATCCCCCCCCCCCCCAAAAAAAAAAAAATTGAAAACGTTATATCGTAGGACCGCCAACTTCTTGGAGTATACTGTATTAGAGTATTTAGGTGTACTAGTAATAATATATTGTATCAACCATTTTTATATCATTTTGATGTCATATTGCGTCATTATGACGTCATCCATGTGATTAATTGCCCAAAACCCTTTTTCTTACAACTTAATGGTATACAATACAAGTTCAAACAAAAAGTGCATATAGAATATCAAGGTCTACTTCATCATATGTGACGTCATAACTTGAGTCATGCATATTTGAACTGTCTGCCATATTTGATCGTCAATATTAAATTTTCAAAAACTTTTTTTTCAAGAGAAAGCCTTAAACTACAATGGGAATGGCCAAATGAGGTTTAAATCAACCTTTTCTTTGTAAAACGGAAGTTGGAATGAAATTTTAAGGAAAATAACCGGAGTGTACCTGATATAATGATATTCTCCGCCTTCTTAAAGTTTGGCCAATGGCGTCATGAAATTAGCATATATTATGCATTATTATTAAAGAACATTACATGACATTATATAACATGTTATAAATATTTGAAAGAATGTGTAGATTAACACAAAGGCCTGAAAACCCCATTGTTAAAGTCAAAATTACTGATTTCTTGAAAAAAATGCCTGTCAGAAACCACTTGCTATGACAACAAGAAACATCAATTTATCTCATTGCTATGAAATCGTTGGCAACAATATGGAAATAGGAAACGTCACCAAGTTTAGTGACCCTAACACAAGCCGTTTGGACCTTATAGGGCATCAAATTTGGCGCTAACACTTTTAGCCCCCCCCCCCCCACATTTTAGATAGGGTTAACCAACCACATAAAAATATGCAAACAGCATTGTAATGCACGTACGAGTATTTTACACATAGTCCATGTCTTTGCTGTATTCTAGTAACAATATTTCTTTAAACTAGAAAGGCCGATATTTGCTTTGGAGCAAATACAGCATGGCGTTACAACATATTACCACATGGCAGGGAAAGAAGGAGAAACACAAAGGAAAACAGTATTTTATTGGTATAACTATAGTATGAAGTGACATATTAGGAATACAACAGTTGGATGGGTACCCCTATATTATTATGACTTTACCAAACTATGTGCAGTGAAACATATTGTTTTCTCTAGTATTTCCTGTCATTCTTCATCTCCTTCTGCCATTTTTTAAAATGGATTCAACTGAAATTTTGCATGGAGGTAGGGTGGGCAAATGCCCTCATGTTTTTTCTTTTCCTCATATTTTTAAACAGGCTTTTAAAATTGTTTTATTTTTTTGTTGCTTTTTTGGCAAATTTGGCAAAATCTGTATTTTTGGGTCCTGGAGACCTAGTATGACCATGTCGTAAAATCTTTTAAAGCCATGCTGTATTTACTACAAAGCAAATGTCGGCCGTTCTAGTTTGTTAGGACTTTTATTTGCATAATGGAAACAGTTGAAAAACTGTTTACACCTTATCTAATAAAAAATCTGTCATCTTAAAATTTAAGTTTTGACCGAGGACGTCACAACATTTCCATAAGTTATGGTTTTATTAATAGCAGATACATGACATTTTATAATATTTTACTGTTAAAAGGATATGTAACGTTACATATAATGTTAAGAGTTTGTTGTTTAACAGAAATTACTGTTTTAGTAGGAAGAAAAAGGTTTTTGACGTGTTCGATCAGGAAATGTCCAAAGGTTTACCTTTATCACTTGTAGGGTCATGACGTCATAATATATATGAAATGGGGGGGGGGTGTTTGGTCTTTTGTCTCTCTGACTATATAGCTGTTTCTATTAAACATATACATACCTGTTTATTTGAAGAATTTTTTGATATTGTGTCGGTCATAGACTGATACTTTTTTCTCCAAAATTCTGATGGCGCATATATGAACTTGTCCTGCCATGCTGAAGCCAGCCTAGAAAGAAGAATGTTACTCCCTTTACATCATTTTAAGTTTACGAACAAACGCATTACGTTTACCTTATACAAATGCTTTAGTACATATTTGAGAACCAAATATTTAGTTATCTTGTCTGTTACAAAGAAACAGTCCTAGCAACATAATGTTATAGCAATTAATATACTTATTAATTAATATTATTAATATGCATCTTTCTACTTTATAGGGGCAAATACGTTAAACCACGCTTATTTACCGTTAAAACTAAATGGATCAGATTTCAAAGTAAATATGTAGTTTGTAAAAACTACTTTAAAGGTATGTGAATTGTAGACTTCGGTTTGCTGGGCGGCTTGTCAAAAACCAGGGTGTTGCAATTGGACTGCTTTATAAAAGGGGACAATATAACTTCTGGACCACGTTTTGGTGAAAATTCCATTAGAAAATGTATTGTTAAACAGTTTTAATAGAGGGTTTAATAAAATTTGTTTTCCTGCTTTAAGCATCTCATTGATGACCATATCCTCTCCGCTAGCTTTTTTGTTTTTAAGGGTGTGTATTGCATCATTGATTTCAGAGCTCGTAATTGGGTTGTCTAGAGGCCCTGGGTTTGACTTACATGTCTGGAGTACTTGGAGTTTGCGTAGAATTTCTTTTTCAAAGTTAAGGTCAAAGTTTTTCTGTTTTAGTCTGGTTTTGTTGTGGATGTTTTTGAAGTGCTCAACCCAAGTGTCTGCTGGTAGATCTTCTTGGGGTACCGAGTCGGTATTTTTTAGTTCTTTTTAAATTCCAGAAGGCGGTGGGATTGTTTTCTTAAAGGTTCTGAAGACGCATTAGACAGTTATTTTCGTAATAACTGGAGACCATTAAGTCTGTTAAATACGGATTACAAAATTCTTTCCTTCATACTTGCCAACAGAATTAAACCCAATTTGATAAACAAGGACCAAACGGCATACATAAAAGGACGATTTATCGGGCAAAATGTTAGATTGATAAATGACATTATAGACTACTGTGACGATAAAAACAAACCAGGAATGATCCTGTTCCTGGATTTTGAGAAAGCTTTCGATAGCATTGAGCACAACTTCATGTTCAAAGTTCTGGGTAAGTTTAATTTTGGTCCCCCTTTTGTTAACTAGGTTAGAATCATATACACAGACTGTATCGCATCAGTGTTAAATAATGGATGGAGAACAGCCTGTATTCAGATCAAACGTGGTATAAGGCAAGGTTGTCCACTGAGCGCTCTCCTTTTTTTTATTTGTTGCTGAAATTTTATTCCATGCTATACAATCAAATGAAAATGTAAAAGGAATTATAATTGATGAACATAATATTAAGGTATGTCAAGTAGCTGACGATACAACATTGTTTCTATCTACTGAGGAATCATTAACTGAAGCTTTGTACTGTATTGATCAATTCCATCAAGTCACAGGTCTGAAACTCAATAGATCCAAAACAAAAGGATTATGGGTAGGCCTATGGAAAGAAAAAAGAAACAACTGGAAGGGATTGAGTGGCCACTACAGCCTATCAAATCTCTGGGTGTATATTTTGGACACTGTAAGAAAACCCTAGGTAAATTAAATTGGGACGACAAAGTAAAGGAATTAAAAATTATTCTCAACACATGGAGGCAAAGAAATTTAACCATATATGGTAGAATAACCATTGTTAAATCCTTAGCTGCTACAAAATTAACGTATAATATGAACATGTTGCATATGCCTATATCAGTACAGAATGAGGTAAATAATGCTTTGTTTAACTTTATTTGGAATGGTAAACAAGATTAAGCGTAAAACAGTAATTGGAAACCTTGATCAAGGAGGTCTAAGAATGTTAGACATCTACTGTGTTAAAGATTCTCTGCTTGCTTCTTGGGTAAAGCGCATCTGTTATGGTGAAGGGTCTTGGAGATATATTCCCTTAATGTATCTATCTGCATTTGGAAACAATGTGAATCTGATTTTTAAAATGAATGGCATAGATGAAAAACTCCTGGATAAGTTAACAATTTTTTTATAAACAAGTCATTTCTGCATGGTACAAATTATGTAGTCATTGTACAGACACAGAGAGTGACATACAGAATCAGATTATTTGGGGCAATAATCACTTTCTATTTAAGGGAAAATCATTATTGTACCCACACTGGATAAACTCAGGATTTGTGTATGTTAAGGATATTTTACAGAATGGTATTTTTTTTAAAGATGAAGAAGTTTTACGTAAACTTGACGTTAAACGTAACTGGGCATGTGGATTACTTTCTGTTAAACAAGCCATGCGTAAACACCTGAAAGATATGAATGTAGTTGATAACACTGATGAAACCAAATGCACAGATGTCCCAAACTTATGTTTTCTGAAAACATCAAAACTATACCAATTACTTATGCAACAGAAATTTGAATTGCCTTGTGTACAAAATAAATGGGAGGTTGAATTAAAATGTAAGCCTATATGAAAAAACATATGGAAAAACCAAACATATAATCCTATTGGTAAACATTTGATGCAATTGAACTATAAGCTTTTACACCGTATATTGCCATGTGGCAAGTTACTTAAGGTTTGGAAGATAAAAACTACTAATGTTTGTAATTTATGTAACTGTATCGATGATTATAATCATATGTTTATTGCATGTTGTAGGTTAAACGTTTTTTGGAAATGTGTTGAAAATTTTATGTACAAATTCTTTCAGTGCGATGTAAAAATGAGTTATGAAATATTGATATTAGGCTATAAAACATACTTGTCAAGTTTGCCTAGCACAATTAGAGACATAAACACTACTTTAAACATAGCAAAGTATGTAATCTGGAGGACATGGTGTGAGGGAGGGAAAGATGTGGGCGCTCTGTCACTGGTCTACATATTTGGGGATGAGGTAAAATATTTTTCCCTCATCCCTGAGTGTGTGGACTGGTGGACAGTCTCGCATCTTTCCTTTCCTCACGCCATGTCCAGGAATTGGCTTCTGGTATTCATCACATTACTGAAATTTGAAAATATTTGAAATTAATGTCTCACTAGGACTCTTTTAAGTGAACATGTTTTTAACATGAGTATTTATACTGGCTTTAATAGGGTATGAATTCAACAAACCTTTTTTGTACATGGAGATTTAAGCTTCAGTCGACAATAATGTCAAGAAACTTCAGCAGTGATATCTAGGGCAGTCTAAAGACCTGTTGTGTCTAAGTGATTTAGACATCTTTTTTTAGTGACTGTTCTTTGTGATTGGTCCGTGTATTTTGGGGATATGGCTGTAAAAGTTGTTAAAAGTAGCTGTGTATGTATATGTACTTCTACCTGTACTTGTTTTCACGATTTGAATAAACAGTGTTTAAAAAAATCGTAATCTCGCTTGCGTTTTCGGATGAGCTTGTTGAACTCTTTCTTTTTCTTAAAATAACTGCCTCTTAGGGACGAGTTTTTCGGGTTGTGTACAAGAAGATATCTAAGATTTCGTAGTTTCGTACTTTCCGGGCCTCATAACATGTTTTATCAAACCGTTTTTACCTTCGCCAAGAAGGTTATGTTTTCAGAGGCGTTTGTGTGTGTGTGTGTGTGTGTGTGTGTGTGTGTGTGTGTGTGCACGATAACTCAAGAACGCCTGGATGGATTGTCTTGATATTTGGTAGGTGGGTAAGTCTTGATGAGACGTGGAACTGATTAGATTTTGGCCTGTTATGGTACTGCAGCTGAACTTCCGGTTTTGATATCTCGTGATCTAGACATGCTAGGCTGACGAAAGTTGGATGGTAGATAGCTCTTGTGCTGGGGAACAAGTGACATGAGTTTGGGCCCCCTAGCGGCTTGCTCTGGAACTGCAGGGCATTAGTTGAACAATGGTTAAAGGCGGATAATTCAAGAACCGATTGATGGATCGTCGTGATTTTTGGCATGTAGGTAGCTGAAGTGATGCTTGACATAATGATATTACAATTATGCAAATATTAATGTAATTTGCATAATTAATGAGGAAATTCTATAAATCAGCTGCATTCCAAAATAGGGCTATTCAAGCTTGTGACATATGTAATTCAGAATGGCAGAAATACAGGCAGATATCGATTATGCAAATGATGACTTAATTTGCATAATTAATGAGAAAATATTATAATTACATATTAGTAATATCTGGAATTTCATACTTGGGATATTTGAAAGTTATGTGAAGGTGAACATAATTAAACATAACTTATTCAAATAAGGACCTCATTTGCATAATTTATGAGGACATGCTATAATGGCATGCATTGATAAGACTGTCTTCTGGTGTAGAATATGATCAACAGATATAATTGATGCAATATAGGATCCTATTTGCACAATCAGGGGGATTAATCTATAATTTCTTAGTCATAAAGGCTAACATCATTTGGCGAAGGTATGAGATCGTGGAACTCTCGGGGGGCACCATGCGTCAGTGGGTCCATTCTGTGGTCGTCGCGGTGGTTGGGTCTCTCTGCTGTTTGTGCGGGGATCCCTATGCGCTTCCGTCATGTAAACGCGGCCTTGGGCACCAGTGAAGCGGTCTCCATTCAGGGACTCGGGGGGTCCAGACTGACGGGGGAAGGGACGGTCCCTCCCTGTAGGCCGTACGTTGCTTCTCGTGACTCTGGCGTAGTCATTTCTACCCCTACTGGTTTGCTGTGGGGACGAAGGCTGGCCTGTCTGTCGGGGACGTCTGTCTTGCCCACTTCTCGGTTGGTCTGGGGCAGCTCTCCTTCTTCCTCTGCTGTAGGTGCCCATACCAACAGCGGGGTGAATAGCAGTCTTCCAGTTTGCCGCCAACATCTTTAGACCTGACTTGTTCAGGTGATAGCCGTCACGGTGGAACAGAGATGGCTTGATCGTTTTGCCGTCTCCGAGGTTGTCATTATTGACATCATGTACGAAAGGTAACTCTTGGCCAAGGACGTGCAAGAAGTTATTCACGTCTTGAGTTACCGCCATTAGGTGATTGTCATCCCTCGGAGGGACGGAGGAGATGATGATAGTTGCGTCTGGATACTTGTCATGTGTTGTCATCATTAGATGTCTGATATTCTCTGTCACGCATTGTGCAGCTCTCTCTTGTCTGATATCGTTTGTTCCGACGTGGAACACGATACACTTCGGGTCGTGGTGGGATGTGGATTCGATCAGGTTTGTTGCTTGAGGGATCGTCATTGCTGCATATTTCAAAACTTGTTTGCCGGGGTAGAGAATGTTGGGCACTATACCCCTCGTGTTCGAGTCGCCAGCAATGATAATCTCTGGATGTGTCACATTTGCGTTGCGAGGATGGTCATGTGTCCGGGCTTCTTGTGACAGATTGTCAGCGTGTGTGTTCCCTTCGCGGCTGTTAGAGTGCCGTTCTTCAGAAGCACTGTCTGACAGAGCCTGGTACCTGTTGTCTGTGGGGATGGTCGGAACGGCGACCGTACCTGGTGGCTCGTCTTCGATCGGGGTTTGAGAATGTACAGCTTCTTTTCGGACGGCAGTTTGGATGGATGCATTTTTCACGCTTTTAGTTTTCAAAGCTGTGATTCTATTGCGCAATTTTTGTTTTCGGCCTCGAGAGTCTTCACACGTTTCTTTAGCGCTTCAATGTCACTTCCCTTTGCTGTTTTCTCTGTAGGCGCCTCTTTTGTGTCCGACAATTTGCATTCAATTCGCGAGAGGCGATTAGACAACATCTCCATTCTGTTGTCGTCTTTTGCAATTCTGCTGGCCAGAATTGCTTCAAGTTTGTCTAAGCTCAGCTGGAGTGACTGAACTTCATCGTTGTTGTTGTTGTTGTCCTTCGTTTTAACTGTTTCTACAGTATCTGAGTTATTAGCGACAGACTTAGGGATAGTTTCGTCTTCGTACAAGTTACTCTGTGGTTGCTTGCTTCTTGATTCGGGCGACCTAGACTCAGAGCTTTCAACGACAATGCTCTCGAACGAGCAGTGTTTACACAAGAATTCAGTCTCTTCATCTCTGATCACCTGGTGCAGTATGAATTCATGAACTCCTGTACATGCATAGTGGAGCCAGTTTTGGCACATATTGCACTGGATAACACCGGCATCTTCGGGTCCAGTGCGCTCACACTCACTACACACGATTTCCTCGCATCGAACCTCTGGGGTTGCACACTCTGAAGCCACCGACTTTTTTTAAGTCAAAAGTGAACATTACCCAGAGGTAGCAGACTGGACCTTGTATCAGAATCCTAGAAGTATGATAGATGTGCAGAGTTACTGTGCCGATAAGGCCGTTTGTCTCAGGGTCATAGAAAGGTGCCGCGAGCTGGTGACCGTTCTTTCCTTTGTCCTCAGTTGACATGTTGTAGTGTGCTTCCACCGTTTCTATCCACTTCTTTTCGGAACCTTCCGGAATGTGTACCGTCACGCTGTTTTCGTTGTACTGAATGAAGTAGCTATCGCTTGGTTTGGCCTTTCTATCTCGTTTTGGTGGCTCGGGGATCACGTTTGTTTGGTCGTACCGTTGTCGGCGCTCGCCGTCTGACAAGACATAAAAAGCCTTGCTTACCTCCCAAAACTTCTGCCGGGCCGCAGCGAGGAGGCGCTTGTCCTTGGTGGTGACGACAGCTTTCTCGTGTTCCTTGACTTCCTCTTTGTATGCGGAGATGATCTTATCTTCCGTTGCGTTGCTTGTTACTCCGAGTAAGTCGTATAGCTTGCCAGGTGATCGTTTCCTGGGGTCGTCGGTCGCCATTTTGTCCGCTTGGGTCCGCTTGGGTCTTTGTTCTCAAGACGCTCCTGTTGTGCGGTTGTCTTCCGGACAGAAATCGGCTTCTAAGACTCCAGAAACTTTATGAAACACTTAGAAAAGTATCTAGGGTGGATCTCTACGATACCACCTGGACTTTGTTACACTTTAAGATATCGTAAAGTCGTAAAAGCAGGGAAACTCGTTGTACTCAAGCGGAGCGATCTGACGGAGGTGTTCGCCTCGCCGCCATCTTAGCTAATGTATCAAGTAATAGTCGATAATAAAAACCAGAGTGAGTTAAAGAGTGAGTGAGTAAGTGAGTGAGTGAGCGAGTGAGTAAGTAAGCGAGCGAGTGGGTTAGCGAGTGATTGAGTGAGTGATTGAGTGATTGAGCGAGTTGGTGAATGAGTAAGCACGTGAGTGCGTAAAAAGTGTTTTAACACGGGATCTAGAGACCGCTTATAGGGGATCATACCTCAAATGAAGCTACAGAACATAAAACGGGCTTAATAATAGATGGAAATGAATTATGTCCCTTTCAATTTTCTTGGTGTTAAGAAACTAACTTTATATGTTTGCTGTTGAGTTGCTGTTAAAAAAACAGACTTACCTTTCTAGTGGATTGCGGACAATAAGAAGCTTGGCATACGTCTCTAAACGTAAACGAGCTTCTTCATCTGTATAGTCGGAAAGACGTTTAAACGGTAGTTCATCCAGTTTGGATCTCATGTCGTGAGTGGACCTCCGCTCCCCGTGTTCCAGGTTGTGTAATATAGTTAAAGTCGTCGTGCTTCCAGTTTTAAAGACTTGGCAGTACAAGAGTTTGTATTTCTCATTAACAACAAACCGATTCCGCGGAGGGAATTCCTATGAGGTTCAAAAGAAAACAAAGGTTAAAAGGTTTCGTCTGGTGGTAGTAATCACTTGGACCAAGGACATCTCCAACATTGGTGCAAGAGCTGGACAAAACCTCGTAGCTTTGTGACGGGTTGCCCCAAAGCTTGACTCTAAAGGGAGAGGCACAGTGTACAAGGTCCAGGTACTAAGCGTCATTGAATATGTGTCATTATGTTGGATGGGGGCTTCTATCTCGTCGCTAAAAACCCTTGATTCCATTTAGAAAAAAAAAAAAACATTACGCGTCATTGGTGTAATGGAACTGAACTGAACTGAACCTCACTGTGTCAGTCTCTAGAACTAACGCCACCGGCAAAACGTCCGGATCCATGCATACTGCAGTTCAGATCTGTAACAGTCTCCGAGACAACGTGGTTGGCCTGATCACTGACAACAAACTTCATTCATTCATGACAAAAGTACACCGGCATTCAGTCCACCACCAAAACTTGCGCATGTAGCTAGAACTTTGCAACTTTGCTGTAAACCAATGATTAGCCAGGAGACTTACAGTGTTACAACCCGAACTATCTTTTACAGTAGCACATGATAGAAAAAAAAACACGCCTACATTGATTTCCATTTACCTTTGACCCCCGATAGTCTACACGCAATATAGTTTAGGGAGCGTTAGGGATAAGGTTTGTTATCGATTAAGGCAGCTTCACCTAGGTTAAGGTAGGGAAATAATAAAACAAGTTTGAACAGTTGTTGTCTAAGTACAATACTAATTTTAAGGAGGGCAGACGGATGTTTATGGGCCTTCTAAAATGTTTGGTGTGCCGGTAAAATGCGATAAGTACTTCGATAAGTAAATATTTTTATCATCGTCTATCATATACATCGGCTTTAACCTTATCTTGACTGGGCGATTTTTGAAAGGTTTATTGTTCATAAACGAAATATATTAAATTTTTAACACAAAAAATGCAAGTCACAAATCCATTACTATGAAAGCTCTAAAAAACAACTCAACAAGAGTTCCACGACCTTATACTATCGACAAATGGCGAATTATTGATTGTATCCCCTGATTATGCAAATAAGACTCTCATTTGCATGGATCTATCAGTTGACTATATTATTTACCCTTGGACAGCCGGAAGTTCAGTTGCAGTACTTTAACAAGCCGCGATAGGGCCCAAAATCTAACAATTTCAAGATATCATCAATCCATTTAAGCCCAATAAATTTAACGTGTTTACACACACACACACACACACACACACACACACACACACACACACAAAACATAACCTTCTTGACAAAGGTATTTAAGGAAGATTTTGAAAAAAATATTTGAGGACAAAACCATCATGCTTTTAGTGCACACTGTTCAGACGTTATTTGACATGAAATCTGTTGCTTGAACTCGAGGAAACTCAGCTTTATTAGGATCTGTTAATTTTTGTAGCGATCTACTCAGTTCCGTCCTGTTTTGATTATAAAAGTATACTTTAAAACTAATAGAAGATGTACCCTAGTGACAATTTGAAACTATTTGGGAAACTCGGCAATTACTTTGTGTGCATGGAATATACATTAAACTAAAGGTACAATACAAATAGCCTACAACTTGGCCGTTGTTAGCTAATCGTCGGTGACGGCCAGTAACAGACAGGCAGCCATCTAATTGGTCTAAGTAAAAGGCTTGTGTACACCACGGAACAAGAATTTTAGTGTTGGATTTTAGAAAGAAGTTTTTATCTACTCAGGTCCTGCTAAACGGTTTATAAAAAGTTACTTACATGTGGACAGATCAATTGATAGCGAGATAAACACTGCGGTCAGTTGCCATGGTTTCTTTTTCCGTTAATTGGCGCGTTCTAGGGGAAATACTTTTTAGAATAATCGAAATAGTATGGAAAAGAAAAAAAATGTTGTGCAAATAAAACAATGCATTTACATGCATTTTCCTTACCTTTTTAGAGTTAAATGGGAGATTTTTAAAAAAGATTTTGCCCGGAAAGATGATTTTTTTAGATTTTAGAGCGCCACATTTTTGGCCGAACATCGTTCAAGATTGGCGACATACGTCACCCTAACTTCCTTATTTACAAATTTTTCAACGGCTAGGCGTAGGATGAAAACTTTCTGTCTATTAAGATTTTTATTTTTTAAATTCTTGATTTAATGTCATACGGCACGGATTAGTCATGAATCCAATTAATCCAATGAAGTATTTCGTTATTCAAGGCCATCTACAATCACGACAGTAGTCTTTTTACATTTAACATGTTCACTTAAAAATGATGGCATCGATGTTCAGTCCAGCAACTAGTTTATATTGGTGGTGATATGTTTAACTCTGCCAAGATGTGCCAATGTAAAAAAGGGTCCCAGGTTGACTGTAAGTGACCGAGGGCAATCTCAAATCAAGCTCCGTTTGGTTCGATTTACGTCACGCCATTTCGAATATGATCAGGTTTTAACGGTGCACACCCCGGTTCTTCCGCCACCGGGGTCCATGGTAGTCCGTTGTAAAAAAGTGATTGCAAAAAAGGGTTTTGAGGGTCCAAGTTTGAGGTGACATTTCTCAAAAACTGCCACGAAGTATCATTAAACATTAACATGGCTGAAGAGTGTACGAAATGGTCATTTTGGGGTGAAAATTTCTTTTTGCTCCGAACCTTACTTCCGTATATTCTTGCGCGCCAAGTGTAATCCGCCCGTTTTGACCTTTCAAAGTAATCCGCCCGTTTTGACCTTTCAAAGTTTGCTCTGCGCCTTCCTAAGAGTGGATTTGCAACCCCTAGCACCGTGGACAGTTTTAAAAAAATCAATTCTAGAATTTTCTTTAAAATTTACTCGGGTATAGTCAAGGCTTGGGTCTTTCTGCCAGCATCAGTCATTTTTGTCGGAATTTTCTTTCTCTATGAGATTATCCTACGCGAAAATTCTCAATTTGTGCATTAATTTTAGAGTGAAAATAATGTTTTTCTGTTGATTTTACCAAATTAAAAAAAGGTTGAAGAAACCAAACTCAGCTGGTCTTGTAGCTGAAGAGATATCCTTTCGTCCCATATACAGTTATTCTCCTTTTGAATTGTTCCAGGGCAGAGACGGTCCCTACATTTGAGGGTGTGCAGCTTCGAATAGAAACGCCAAATAAACTGGGGTGTGCCTCCTTAAAGCAACTGGGCCCCAAATTTGACCACCGTGAAATATACAGCTACATTGATGGAGAGAAAGATATAAGATAGCTAATGATAAATAAATAATTAAATACACGATAGATGAATGCATTGAAGCTCACTTATATCATTCACAAAACAAAGCCATTTTCGGAAATATCGTGTAGCTTGGTAAATCAAGGCATTAACGCATAAAGAGTATTTCGACTTTTTACGATTCAGAATGTAATAGTAACATGCAGACTTACCTTGCTATTAGCAATATTTGACTTGCAGAAATCCTTCAACTTAGCAATTCTCGAGGATTGTATAGTATCGGTCGTGGTTTTCCTTTCTATAGTAAAAACACAATAGTAATTTACGTATAAAGTAGAAAAGGAAAAGGGCAAATCGGTTGATCAGTAAGGTTGTCTCTGGTTACTAGGCTTGTTTCTGAGCTCACACTGATTTAATTTTGTGCATGACATCTGACCGAGCATTAATTTAGGCACCTGTTCTAAAACATCACCTCTTCGAAGGCTCTAGCCTTAGGGTCATCTCATATCGGTAGTCCAAGGTAGCTAGTGGCAATAGGAAGGCGACAGAAATGCGACCGTCACACTGCGCGTAAATCGATCGGCCGACGAGTCGGCGAACTCTTACCGACATGTTTGGCCATTTTTGACATTTTTTTACCCTCGATATTTTGTCGAAAACTGCGTGAACTTTTGGAAACTTTTTAGAGTCGGCCGTCGCTCGATGACACTGAAAACGTGTTCTTAACATCAGCGACCAGTCGCCGGCGATGGTCAAAACATGCACAAAGATCAGGATAATCGTAATTAAGTCACATAAACAAGAAAATACTATGTGCAACTTTCAGTTTCTAGAAACCTATCTTGTGGTCAACTTTTAATTTTTCAAACTGTCCTCTTAAATTTTCATTAATATGTCTAAGTGTGAATGTCTAAAATGTCAACCTAACAACTGAGTTAGCTTGAATAGGAACTTTTTCTAGAAATGTGGGTTGTAATTGTGGTGTCAATTTGGTATTATGACAAACAGTATACAGGTACAAACATGTAGAACTGTACACGTAACTGCCGGAACTTTCCATCACACTACAAGGCAAACCTTGGCAAGGCAGTGATGTGATTACTCTATTTTTCAAATCAAAAGTGTCTTGAAAAGTCTTGGTCACCACCTTTACCATTCTTGTGCCCATATTCACAACACGGTAGTCAGGGATAGAATGAGGCCTGGTAGTTTACGTTAGCCATATATATTGGGTGCTTATATAGTACAAGCCTTATCTTTAAAAAAATTACGATGGGCGCTCAATACGATCTGTAATCTTGGACAATAAATTTTGAATTTGAAAAACAAAAAGGTTGTTGTTTTTTTTTGTTCAAGATAAAGCCAAAAAAAAAACATTGAAATGGCCAAAAGTCGTTCATAGAAAAGTTTTTTGTATAAGGAAATCCAAGTAGTGATGAAATTTTAAGAAAAATTCCCTGTATATACCTGATCTATTGATATGGTCTGCCATCTTGGATGCTTACCAATGACGTCATCAAGTTAGCATAAATTATACATTTTGATAATCAGAATTACATGAAATTATATTAGATTTTATCAATATTATAAGTCCTGTGTTACATGACAAAACAACCATAAAAGTCTATTGTTCAAACGAAAATTACTAAAATTCGAAAAATGCCTATTAGATTTCCGTTGCTATGGCAAAAAAGATTATTTACTTAATTCTCTGGTTTAAGATTGTTCCCAACTATATTACAGGAAAACGTACTTAATTTTGTGGTTGTAGCGCTAGCCGCTCAGACGCTATTTGACATCAAAGTTGGCGATGGCACTTTTACCCCCCCCCCTCTAGATAGGGTTAAGGCCAAATGACTAGATTTTGAACTTAACTGATTGAACGCACATGAAATCATTTGTCACTTGACACTTGTCAATTCTAAAATTAGGCTGAATTTTTCATAGGGCATCCACAGGAACATCCGATGGTACAGAGATATAACTTACTAGTTAATTAGTCTATACTGTACTGATCTTTATACCCATGTACGAGGGTTGGTAAAAGTTCTCGGCCTCTCCTAGAAAACGTCATGGCAGAAAATTTCTTTCACTACTTTTCAATACGTCAATTTGTCAGTACGTCAACTCAGAGCTTTCCTTTCCTTTTTTGCTGTAATTATTGCCCTCACCTCTAGCAATTCTGGTACACAGAATACCCCATTAATGGTTAGACCCTTTTGCAGGTTGTCAATCATGATTACCCCCTCACTGTTCCAGAAAAAAAGAGGCCATAAACTTGTCAACGGATGAAACTCGCTCGGGGGGCTGGAAACCGTTTTTAATCAAACATTTGCTCTTCTCTTTTGATTTGGTGTGAAATTGGTGAGCTCTTGTCTTACCTTGAGTGACAAATCGTTTCAGGAAATTGCCTAGATTGTACTTAATTCGTTTTTTTTTAATGTCAAGCATGTTTAACTTCTGATGTTCAGACAACATTCTATGCACCCACATTACAGACAACTTGCTCATCCTCAGGATGTCTGACAAAACAGTGTGAACTGAGCCACAACTCAGGCCAAAGACTCTGCTACAAATCCGGACAGTCTCATGTCTGCCATTAACTACCATTCGATGGGTGGCCCCAACTGGATTGTCTGTGGTGATGATTTAAGGGCACCCAGAACATTTGATTGTACTTTTATAACCGGTAACAATCGGTGCGCATGGGTGCATCAACTTGAGGTAGTGTGGCCTAATGTCAATGTAGAGTTGAAACGTCCTTGATAATAATTAACCAGAACTGAACCTTAACATGTTTTATTGTACGTTTTGGATAAATTGTAAATAAATTAACTGAGCATCGATATATCAGCGAACGAAACTCAAACGGCATGTGCCTGTGCGTAGAGCGAGTTTTTTCCGACTGCATATAGTTAAAAAGGTGGTCATTTTGGTAACCAGAAGGTACAGTGAGTTTGTGGCTCATGTTGTAGTGAGTGTTTGAGTTTTTTTTTTCATTCGTTACTTTGCTAAAACATTACAACTGCGAAAACATGAAAACTTTTCCCTTTTTAAATTGGCTTCACTTGGTCCACGTGTCATGTTTACCAAAGATATATTTTCAAACGATCGCCTGAGCATTGCTCAATGTGACTGGTATAAGATTTGCAAGCTAAACATATTCGCGTTACTTGGTCGATCTCAAAATCTGGTGACTTTTCGGCGATTAACGAATGCGGTCAAAGCTCGTTGACAATGTTATGCAGGCAGCAGGCACAACTACAGAAGACTGTACCAAGGCTAAGAAAGTTTTAGGGCAGACGTCATAATTTCGTTGCGCATTAGAGACCCAAAAATTAATTGTAGTTACTAGTTCATATCTTTTAAAATAATTTTCTTTAAAACGTTGATAAAGTTTAAAGGAACAGGTAGGGTCTTACCTTTTTACTTTGGTCATTTTTTTCACCATTTTAACCCTCAACAGAACACCTTCCTGGACTGATTAATCTGTACACCTGGGGTTCGCGCGGACCCCAAGACAGTTTTTTGCTAATTTTTAGAAATTATCAACATGCTACCAGCTCAATTGCTTTGCAAATTGATGTGTGAACCTCTGAGTCCACATTATGAACAAAAATCATGCTTTTTGACTTTTCCTATTTTTGGGTGAAGAAAAGACAAAAGAAAGAAATACCCGATTTTTGAACCCTATTTAGACCGAGTGGTCGTTTGAGGCCAGCGCCAAATTTAATCTTAAATAGCGCGTAAACGGCTTGAGCTAGAATCATCAAATTTAGGGACCACTTCTAAAATGTATTTGGAAAAAAAATCGTATTAGTTAAATAAGTTAATGATTTTTTGTGTTGCCATGGCAACGGGTTTCTGACAGGCAGTTTTGGGGTAAAAATCAGTAATTTTGGTTTAAACAAACATTTTCTGGGTTTTATATCAAATAACACTTTCTTTCTGACATTAATAACATCTTACATATATATGTATATATAATTGAAGATAAGATGATTTAATATTCATAATATATGCTAATTTGATGACGTCATTGTTCACAATTCAAGGTGGCGGACTATATTATTAACTCTGACGTCATATGACGTCATAATTACACCAAAGTTTTTAGAATTTAATTCTATTAGTACCCCATTCTCTGAAAATTTGGTGGCCATACGATAAGTGCATAAAAACATCTAAAAACGGAATTAAAGTAATGTATAAGAACGCCAGTGTATCCATTATGATCAAAAGCCGGCTGGGGTCCGCGCGGACCCCAAAAGAAAATCAGATATAAAAATTTTTTGAAATGGGGGAAACTGAGTTTTCTACACTGTATTGTGGGACAACTTTGTGGGTGACAATTACCTAAAATTTCAGAAAAAAATCTTAAGAAAAAAAAAAATTACAGAATATATAGTGCTGGGGTCCGCGCGGACCCCAGGTTTACTGTTAGGGTTAATGGGCCTGAGTTATGCCCACTTATGGTGGATGGATTACCTTATTTAGATCAAATATTGTCACATTGGTCGATCCAGCATGAGATAGATACATCAGGAAATTTGGAGTTTGTTTACTGTTGTCAGAGTTTGAGCTCGTCAACCCCATTTTTTTGTTTCTTTTCTTTTTATAGCAGATCATTGTAGCTCTGTGGTGTAGAAGATGTTTTCAAAATTAAATGTGAGAAAGAACTTTCATGGGTATTTGTTTTGGAGTATATAAACATACGTTTATTTTGCTAAAAGTAAATGTAATGCCAGCCCTCAACGGAACTGCAGAACTAAGTATAGTGCCTATCGGGACCCCAGAAGTGCAGAAAGGAGCAAAATGGAACGAAATGAAACTAAATATGTATGAAGGAAAGCCGTTCAGCCGTTCGTACGTTGGAACGGCGGCGTTAGTGTCCGCTTGACGTCCAAACAGCAACGTTAAGATTGATGATATTCTTAGAACCGCAACGATATAAGATCGATCAGGGTACGTTAAGAATAAAGTGACCATAACGTTAAAACTCAGTTCCCTCCAGGCACCCGTCCTTGTGTCTTTTGGACACACTGTTTTGAGAACAGACGCACTCCGTCCAGCTAAGTGCGTACAAAAAAATTCAAAGGGGGAAATGACCTGTGCTACCAAGTTGGTGGCATCTTACAAAAGCACCTCAGTTTGAAGAAGCAGTAAACCTACTTCTGCGATCTGTACTTCGATTTCTCCCCGCCCAAGTAATCCAGGTCCAGCGAGGAGCTCAGTACACTCCATAGGGAGGGGCGTGGGACGCCTCAAATCCATTTTTACGCCCATGAAATTTGCGGG